CCACAGACTGGTTTTTATCAGGTTAGGGAGTCACGGTAAGAAGATAATACATTCCAATCAGCCGTGACGGAAATTTTGAATGATCATTAATCTGAGTGTGATGATGACTACTAAATCAGTGAAAGGATGTTTTTAAATGTGATTGGCATACAAATGTCTTTAAACATTGTATCTGCAGGTCACCTCTCTGTTTAGCCTACTTCTTGCTCCCTGTCAATCACCACGATTTTTGTCCATTTCTAGTTGTGTTACTTTTTTTTGATATCTGTCTCCCAGCTGGTCTCTGAAGTCCATGAATGCAGGGGATGTAGGCATCATATATGGGTATGCAGTCTGTCATCACATAGACCCAGTGCTGTCCAAGTCCCCATCTTGGTTAAATGTTCTACCACTGTTCTCCGGAAACCTTTCCAGTGTCTTTAAAAAGAGAGAGCTACATTTCCATTTTGCATTGGGCCTCACAAAAGGTGCAGCTAACCTATCCCCCATACATTTCAGGGCACTGGCCTGTGGCAGATACTCAGCAGGGACTGATAAATGAATAAAAGGTTTTTACCCCCACCTAACCACATCTCCTGCTTATATGAGAACTTTAAAGGTGTTTGACTGAATTTAAGGGCGAACCAGGATTGCCAGGTGTCAAAGGAAAGAAAGGAGAGAGAGGCCCGCCTGGGCCACCTGGACAACCGGGGCCTGCTGGACCTGACGGAGCCCCCGGGAGTCCTGGGAGTCCTGGCCACCCAGGTGAGCACCGGCTTTACAGTTCAGAAAGCAGTGGGTATGGGATGACCCTTACCTTTTAGAACCATCTTTGTAAACAGAAAGCTACAGTTTTGGGTGTACATGCTACAACTGTTTTGATTCAACTTTGAACTTTTAATTCTACGGCACTAAAAAAAAAATAGCGAATTAATCCGAAGCGGCCTCATTTTACTGTTTACGAGACCGGTATCTCAACACCTGCTCTTGTAATCAAAACCTCTGAAGTTCTGCCTCAACCAGTTCAGCCAAGAAGCATGGAATGGTATTGTCCCTGCACAATCTTAGGTTAGAATGAGACAGCTAAGCAGGGCTTGTGATGCATGCGTAGGCTGGGTGACTTAGCAGAAGCCTGTTTTCTCCCGGTCTGAAAGCCAGAACTCCAAGACCAAAGTGTTGCTACGGCTGATTCTCAAGAGGCCTCGGGGCTTGGCTAGAGCCGTCTCTTCCTGTCTCCCCTTCAGTTTTCATCCTCATCTCTTACAAAGATGCCCCTAGTGTTGGACAAGAATCCTCACTTTTGATTAGCTTTTTAGAAATCGCATTATTTATTTATTAATTTATTACGAGTGAGTGTGGTATGTGTATGCTGTAGGATGCATGTGGAGGTCTGAGGACAACTGGCAAGAAGAACTTATGGGAATCAGTGCACTCACTCCTTCCATCGTGTGGGTCCTGGGGATCGAACTCAGGCTGTCAGATTTGGCAGCAAGCATCACTACCCATTTAGTTATCCTGTCAGCCCCAATTTTTAACAACCACTTTGCTAAACACAATGGCATTCTGAGGTACTGGGGTACTGGTACTCAATGTATACATTTGGAAGAAACATAATTCTACCTGTAGCGCTATTTTAAATCTTTTTTTTTTCCCCCTGGCATATTTCTGGTCTAGACATTGACATCCAGGTTATTGTATAACAAGTTTTTGTTTTGTTCTATTAAAAACAATTGCTCAGCTGCAGAGGAAGCTCAGTAGTGCAATGTTTTCCTCATGTATGTAAGGTTTTAGGTTCAATTCCCAGCCCTGGCAGGAGAAGGGAAAGGTGGGGAAAAAATTTATTTAATTAATCTGAAAAACAAAATCTTGATGAATTATTTGGTCACAGCTGAAGACCTACCTACAGATAGCATTTAACCAAAGTTTTCAAACACTGAGGGGGGGGTCAACAAATTTGCAGTTAGCTCCTGCTCTTAGCAGTAAGTCAGATATTGGGCACTCAGGGTCAGGATCAAATCAGGTTGTCTGGCTTGGCTACAATCACCTTTACCCACTGAGCCATCTGGCCAGCCCCAATTTAACAACCACGTTGCTAAGTACAGTGGCATTCTGAGGTGCTGGGCATTAGAACTTCAATGTATGAAGGGAATCACACCTGTGTGATTTCTGGGAGAAAAGTCTTTTGAGACAAATGTCTGAGGTGGCCTGTCAGGAATTTCCTTAAGGGCAGCCCGAGCATGGCTGATGGGAGGAATTGGATGTTTCAGTCGCTAATGTAACTACGACTTATGTCTTGGTGTTCTTTTTCTCTCCTTTCTCTCTGGATCTTTAGGGAAGCCGGGTCCTGATGGTGATTTGGGTCTTAAAGGAGAGAAAGGCTTCCCAGGCCCTCCAGGAAGCACTGGCCCTCCAGGTTTCATTTTAAAACTTATTCTGCCCCTTGGCCTGAAGAAAACATACTTCCTTCTTGAGCTTAGACTATCTATGCTCACTCTTCCCATAGGATGCAGAATAGTGGGCTCGACTACCTATCTAATTGAAGTATCTACCAGTATAAAATACCATGTTGTCATCTCAGGAGAGTATTAATCCAGGCATTTTTTATAACTTTATGCAGTTCTGCATAACTACAGTCCTGAAAACTCAGTACCTTTCAGCACTTTCAACGTATCTCCCCAGTAATCACAGTAGGCCATAAAAGGAAAGAGACCCTGTCTTTGAATGGTGTGGTTTGGGTTTCCGTTTGTTTCAGGCCCTCCAGGACTTCCAGGACCTCCTGGACCAATGGGTATGAGAGGTAACCAAGGACGTGATGGAATTCCTGGTCCTCCTGGACAAAAGGGAGAAACAGGTACTGCTTCCTCTTTAAAAAAATTATTTTATGTGCTTATGTGTATGTGTATTGGTTCACTCATACCGTGACTGTTGTGTGGAAGTCAAGAAGATGAACCGAAGGAGTTTATTCTCCCCTTACCCTCCATGGGCCCTGGGGGATTGAGTTCAGGTCATGAGTCTGAGAGGCATGAGCCCTTACCCAGAGAACTACCTCACTGTCCCTTGCTTTTAATAGTTGATCTACTGGTTTATTAATAGCATTTTAATTCCATGTGGCTCTAATAATTCTTCACTGATAGAAATGATGGTCTCTAACAGTCTCAGCATGTACCAATTGTACTTCCTCCATACATAAGATGCACTGAGATTAATCGAACATTAATATATCAAAATTACCTCTTACAGGCTTACTGGGAGCCCATCCAGGCCCAAAAGGAAGCCCTGGTGTTCCAGGTAGGCAGTTCTCCCCTGATCTTATAAATCTGCATTTCCTAGATGAGAATCTAGTTCTCAAGTTTTGACTTACCAGACAATGTAACTTGGCAAGTGAAAGATGATCACCCACTGGGGATACTAAATATTAATGATCTTAATAGTCAAACTATTTATCATCACAACAAAGGAATGAATCCAAATCTGTGACCTGGCTTTGGGGATTTCCTTCTGTGAAAGTTTCTAAAGATTAAAATGAATCCACATGTCTTTGTTTTGCTGTTGTTGGTAGTTGGTTTTCGATGACTTGACTCCTAAAAGGATGCAGGTGGGGTTGACTTCCCTGTGAGCATCCTTCCCTGTTGAGATAGAATGGTGATGCTGCCCTTTCTCACTTGGACTCCCGCCCCTGCACTGAGCTTGTGATTCGTGTTATTGTTTGTCAAGAGCTACCCTGTACCTCTCTCAACATCTGAGACATGACATGTTTAATGGCTTCTCAAAGTCTGCATGTTTTTTATTGACAGACCACAGACATCCCTCTCTCAAGCTAGTGTCACAGGTTAAACAAACTCTTTGAACTCTTCCCCATTTTGTAGAGAAAGAAGCCAAGACAAACAGGAGATTGTTTGTACCTTTTAATGGTCTTTCTTAGCCTTGTGTCCTATATATAGGAGTATTTCAAGGTAGTAATTTCACTTTATTCATAACAGTTGTTGCTATGAGAACCTGCAGAAGATAGGTTGAGGGTAGAACTGGCCTGGACTGGAGTTGGAGTGTAAGGTAGACAGGAGTTGCTCTCTTCCCTTTGTTTCTTGTGACTTGATTGTCCTTTTGGTCAATCTCAGTGCTCACACACCTCCCAGAGCCTTCCAACCCTGATGATCAGGGAGCCTTTCCCTCTCTCGATGACTAGTAGTAGAATTGTAGGCAAAAGAAAAGTTTCTGTCCATATTGTTAGGCTCAGCTCAAAACTTACCCAAAGGAAATGCCGTATTTGTGTTGCTTTGCATTCGACTGCAAATAAAGTTTCAAAAAACAATCACACCTTAGACAAACAAACAAACAAACAAAAGCTTTAAAAATAACAAAATAGTCCAGTCATGTAAGTGATCACTCGCCTCAACGCTTCTGGGATAACAAAACATGAAGAGACCATTGAAACTTGGAATATGTGGATTGGTTTAATTAGTTTATTCTCTCACATCCTTAAGAGAACTCATATTAGACCACAAGGAATAATTTTAACAAAACTGTAATATAAAACCCATAACGTAAGTATGTGAGGTCATTGCTGAACAAAGACAATGCTACAGAGCCAGAAACACGCTGAAGCCTTCCCATCACTGTCTTTAACAGCACAGATTACAGGCACTATAGATTAAAGACGTGAATACAGAAAGGACCACACCTTCATCAGTTTGGTTTTCTTTATCACCCCAGGTCTTTCCTATCCAACAGTGTCCCACCCACAACTTTTCTCCAGTCTCCAGCCTCACTCTCACTTCTACATTCATGCCATTTACTCTCAGGAATAGCACCGAGGGGGCTGGAATGATGGCCCAGAGGTTAAAAGGCACTTGCTGCTCTTGCAGAGGATGTGGGTTCAGTTCCCAGCATGAACATAACGGCTCACAACCACATGTAACTCCTGTCCCAGGAGATCGGATGCCCTCTTCTGGCCCCTCTGGGCACCAGGTACATACAGGGAGCACATACATACATATAGACAAAACACTCATACACTTAAGATATAAAATACATAAGCCATTTTTAATTTAAAAAAAAAACCAGATAGGAAGGAGGAAGGAAGATTGTTTTTAATCATACTACATTTTTTATCCAGGAATGTCAAAGCACAATTTCTTGAAGGTTTTCTGAGATGACAAATAATACATGGTACTAAAGCTGTGACCTTTCTAGGGTCTTCTTTCATACCTCTTGTCATGTTTATCCCTCCGAGACAGTGTCACAGCCATGGGGAAGATTTAGGCAGGAGACTGAGCAGGATTGTACCTTCCTCTGTGTCTACAAGGGCAGCAATACAAAGCACACATCACTACCCTGAAGTTTAGCTTTTCTCTGCTCTATTTGATTATCTGTAAATAAATAATGTCACTGTAAAGGTTGCCAAATAATACCTGTGCCTTACATCTGCATGACACTTTAGATCTTATATCATGCCTTTTGTCTATATGTTAGATGTTTTTTGTTTTTTAGGGTTTTTTTTAAGAACTGAGCTATGGCAGATATATTTTTACTTTTCAAATAAAACAAAGAAAGAGCTGGGAGATAGCTCAGTCAATATGAAGTATGCAGTATCTGTAATGTCAGCACTTAGGAAGGATGAGACATGCAGATCCCTGGAATTTGACAGTCAGCTACTCCAGCCAAATCAATGATGTCTAAGTTCACTGAGAGAGCATTTTTCATAAAATAAGACACAGGAGCACACGCACCACAACAGAGATTTGTAATAGTGTAGTGATTTTGCCTAGATCCAGACCTAGTCCAAGGAAGATCTATGTTTTTGTTCTTCAGCCTCTTTAAAAAAAAAAAAAAAAAGAAATTACGAATTTTAACATCTTCAAAGAAAGTGCCTCCATTACTGAAGCTAACCACAAACTATAACCCAAATGAGCTTTCTTCTTTGCAGGTGTCAAAGGAGACAAGGGAGCTCTGGGCTTGCCTGGCCTCCCTGGCAGGAAGGGGTCCATGGGAGATGTTGGACCTCGAGGACCCCCAGGCATCAGTGGGCTCCCAGGACCACCAGGTCTACCTGGGGCAATTGTCCCTGGCCCAAAAGGAAACAGAGGTCTTCCTGGCCCAAGAGGAAGTCCAGGTAGAGAATTTCCTTTCATAAGTTGGAATGAAAGTCACATTTGACAACAGAGGTGTTCTTCCTCACATTACCTCATGGCTTCTCCTTTTGCTCTCTGTTTTCTTCATCCTTCACATATCCCTGACTCTCACATGCAGTGAGTTGGCGGTGGTGTTGAGGGACAGTGGCCTGGGCAAAAGATTAGTAGATTTAGTTAAGTCTCCTAAAGACAGAGACCTCTGTTGTTGAGCATGTACTATGTATGCATCAGGCTGGATGCTTCCCCACAGACTGTCCTCGGGGAGATGTGGTTCCTTGCTGCTTCCCCCAACGCTTCCCTAGCATGCTCTTACTCCATCTTCACCACAGCCTCGCCTCATAGCAGCGAAGGAAAGGGTGTTTAAGGCAATAACAAGGCGTGGGGTTTGTATTTCATTTGAAAGAATCCATGACAGAGCTCTCCAGGACCCCTTACTGGCAACTCTGATGGACTCTTTGTGAATCCAGGGAAGCCAGGGCCCCCTGGACCTCCAGGACTTATCGTAAAAGGCATAAAAGGTGACAAAGGATTTATGGGCCTACCTGGTCCCAAAGGTCTACCTGGAGCTGTAGGCGACATGGGCCCACCAGGTCACCCGGTGAGTGTGTAATGTTATTAATACACTTCTGACTTACTGTTGCTATACTGCAGTTATAGTGTATATATCAATACTGGTCACAACTGCTCACTATTCATGAACTGTCCAATTAACTCTGGTGAACCAACTGGTGTGCATGATTGGCCGCACCTGAATGCAGCACGTAGTAACTACTGATGACACACCTGTGCAATGATGTGATGCATCCAAGGTCCCACAGAGCCAAAGAAATCAAAGAATCTTAAACGCTGCAAAGGTTTTATCTCTACAAGGCCTTTAACAAATGTATCTATGGGGCATAAACCTCTGACACTTGCTTATGTAAACTCTGAGCTATTCCAGTGGGGAAAAAACTAAACACCTAGTAGATGACAATTGTCCCCAAATGACAGTCATTCTTGCTCTCTATTAATATGCTTTAAAAACGACCTTTGCTATCCTGTAAATATGTCCATTCTCTCCCCACCACATATCACCAATGTTTGAATGTAATTTCTATTTCTTCCTATTATTTTCTACCTGGTTCTGGAAGATTCAGTTTCATTGTTCATCAGCCTTACCTCTCCCCTGAATATACCCCAGTTCGACAGTATGTCCCTTGAAAATGAAGCCAGCAGTAGAAAAATTTGCAGAAATAAGAGCTAAGTCCCCCAGTGAGTGGCTAAGAGAGGGAAAAGTATCTCACTGGCCTGAACATTACCATTTTAGGACTTCAACCTAAGATTCCTGTGGGCCACTCAGCTGACTCATGGCCACATTGATAATGACACACTGAGCTTAGAATCAGCTGGACTC